TGATCTTGTTTTTTTAAGTTGAAATTTTGAGGCACAAAATAAATATTTTAAAACTTTCCAGCTGTTGGTAACAACAAACAAACATGCTTTCAGGGAGCCCTGAACAAACAGTGAGGTTTGGCTCTGTAATTACTTTAACAAAACATCCTAATTAAAAGGGCAGTCCATAAGGAACTGGGGTATTTCTCGAAGTTACTGTTGATCTTCACACTGCTCAAGCCAAGCAAAGAATGCAAGAGGAACTATAAAAGTCACAGAAGGAAAGGGGATTGCTTTTAAATATCTGCACTTCCCACTGCTTCTCCTTAGTGACTTGCAGGGCTCATTACCACTCTAATGAGTAGATCACTCCCTTGGAGTTCACCAGGAGACGCAAAAGCAAGAGGGAAAAGTTATGCAACACAGTGCACCTAGGGAGGGCAAACACTGCAGTTCCCTCCCAAAAGAGGTTTCTTTGGCTACTGCAAAGAATGCCTCCCATTAGAGTTGGTTTTCAAAATGACTGCTTCCCCCTTAGCTATAATTTCAGGCAAATCAAAGCAATTCTATATGGAAATTTCTGACTTTAGAACTCAAAACTTTCTTACATTAGCCATGAAAGCTTTAGGAGAAGTGACTTATATCTTATGATTTAAACATGAATAAGTTAAAATGAGATGACTATTTAAAGAAACCCCCCTAACTTAAATATATATATATATATATTCACATTTATGTATTTATATATGGAAATAGAACAAGCTATCAGGCTGTGTGTTCTTTGGAGCTACTCACAACCACTTCTGAGATTGTCCATTTGTTCAAACATTGATTCCTATCAAGGGTAACACTTTTTAATATTTGCATGATGCATTCAAAGTAAGAAAAACAGGAGGAAAGAAGAGAAATTGAAATCAGTCTAGAGGAGTATCCCAGTGAAAAGAGATTATGGGTCAACAAATTTAAAAGGCCTTAAGACCAAATATGTGTGATCTTATTAATTTCTTACAGCCAATAAAATACTTTGTTTTACAAAGTTAGTAAAACATATCTTTCCCACACTCATATAATTATATGCCCTAAAATGGCTGTTTCCATCATGTTTTGAGTGAACAATTTCAGGGCACGTGGGTGGAGCAGTCAGTTCTGACTCTTAATTTTGGCTCAGGTTGTGATCTCAGGCTCCTGAGATCAAGCCCCAGGTCGGGCTCTGTGCTCAGGGCAGAGTCTGTTTGAGACTCTCTCTCCCTCTCCGTCTGCTCCTCCCACTCATGCTCTCTCACACTGTTTCTCTCAAATAAGTATATCTTTAAAAAAAATAAAAGAGTGAACAATTTCAAGTCATAATCCATAACAGTATTATGTACAAGAAGCATCAACTCCATTAGTTTTCTTCTATTAATTTTTTATTTACCTTTTTAGATTGCTAATGTGTACATTATGGACAAGGACAAGAGCTGCCTCAACAATTAAAATCCAAATAAAGAAATGAAAGAATGAGAAAAGATGCATTATTTGAAATGTGTTAAGATAATCAACTGGCAAATGAGTAACACCTGGATGAGTGAGGGCACATTTTACACTAATCGTGGCAGAAATAATTTTCCCAAAGGCATTCTTTTTGAAGAACATTTACTATGCTGTCCCACGCACCCTTCCTTGTAACCTTAGTCGACCTCTTTTTCCTGAAGTTTTTAGTTCAAGTACTGTTTGTTTTCATGAAGTCTTTTCAATTAGGACAGCCGTTATCTGTTTATCTCTCAAGAGAACCGTTCCTATCTCTTTCATGTTTGTACTCCCCATGACTGGGCACACTATGGGTTCTTAATTATATTTCATAATAACTGCATCAATACTCAAGAAAGAAAAAAGTAACCAAGAAGGATGCATGCAGAAGAGGGACATTATTATGCCAAGAGTATAGAAACTTTCAAACCAATCTAATTAAGCAACATTTATTAAGACTTTATTCATGAACACAGCATAGAGATTCTTGATTAAAATAGATGTATGAATTGGATTATATTAAGATTGCATGGATACGAAAAGCACACAGTTAAATAGAAAGTTTGTGCCATCCCAGGGGCTGTGATTTTACATTTTGATTCCACTAGACTGTAAGTCATTTGGAGTGAGGAGAAAGAGCTCATAAGTCAAGTGGAGAGCCCCATTCATCCTGGATATTTTATAGGACCTTTGGAAGCTCTGCTCCATTTATTTTCACTCCTTCCAGTAAGAGATATAGTCCCTTAGGTTTGGGTAAATGATATGACCTCATTTCTTAGAATCTTCTGCCTTGAATCACTATCTTTTATTGTCACTGGGTCAGTTCTAGAGGATTTGTGGAGGCTTTGCTCCGATAATCTATATTAGACATTGGACTCACAAAACTTGGTCCTGAGTTTCAGATCCACAATTGCTAGCTTAGTGACTTGATTAAGTTAGTTAAATTTTCTTAGCTTAATTTATTGTCTTTTAAAAGTCAGCCTAATAATATACGCCTTGTAAAGGTAAGTGAGAGGATAAAGGACAAGTGTATAAACTTTAGAAGTTATTTCTTAAATAAATAGAAAAATAAGGTATTTGTGTAGCTTACCCTGTCTTTATTCTTTAAATAAGACAGAGCACATCCTCATGACTTTAGACCCAGGCCACCCTGATCTTGTTAATACTTCCACCACCAATTGGGCTATAGCTTCAGGATGTCTATTCTTGCTATTCTGCCTGGTGGGCTCGTGCCTGACCTATTCACATGGCTGCCTCCCTCACTACCTTAAGGTCTGTGCTGATATTTTACCCAATCAGAGAGATCTTCTCAACACCCTACATGAAACAGTTCTCCCTAATCTTTCTATTCCCTCTATGATGCTTTATTTTTCTTCATAGCATTTATCACTATCCATCTCTATCTCAATAAAATTTATACTCCTTGAGAGTAGGGACCTTATTTATTCCTTTACCCCTGGTACCTAAAATAATGCCTATTACATATAGACCTTCAAAAAGAAATATATGTTGGATAAATAAATACATGGATGTTCCCTAATCTATTAGTGAAAGATATAAGCTTTATGAAGTATGACTTTGTGTAGCTCTGCAACTTTTCAATTTATAATGCCTAAGACAAGTTAAATAACATCTTCAAAGCCCCAAGTTACTTTTACATAAAATCTGACATTACCTCTAAGGTTGTCCTGGGATGGCCCATGATTATCTAATCTAATCTAATTGTTTATGCTTCAACCAGGGTAATCTCTTCAAAATGCAAATATAATTAAGTCACTATTTAAAAAAAATCCTTTAATGACTTGCTTAGATAAAGCACATTATTGCTTTAATGACATTCTTAGGACAAAGTTCAAAATCCTTAATTTGGTCTTGCCAGATTTAGAATCTGCTATCTTACAAACTGCAACACATGTCATCTGTGTGTTTCAGTCTCGATGGTCTTTTTTTTCAGGTCTTGAATAATGTCATGGTCTGTCTTGACTTCAGACCTGCATTCACCTTGCCCTCCACATTTCCTCCCTCAGTCTGTAATGTATGCTTTTGCATAGCAAACTCCTATTCATCCTTCTAGTCTCGGTTTAAATGCAAACCTTCTATATGTCTGTTTGCCTATCAATCTATCTGTTCATTCTATGTTGATAGATCAGATACTACCAACATTCAACCAGGTTTGAACTAGGAAATGGCAATTCCCTATGACTTCACCTGGAATGTCTGTATTTCTTTGCTATGTTCTAAGCTCCACAAGAGAGGGTCCTGCCTTTTATCTACTATTATACTCTCAGAGTTAAGCACAGGGCCCAAGCCTTACTAAGTTCCCTGTAAATATTCTTTAATGTGCCAGTAGGAATTACCATTACTGTAGAAATGGCATTTGTTGCTTGTTTCCCTGCCACATGAATTATTTTATAAAATGGAATCTACGACTATATGAAAATCATGAGCAATGGTGAATTACTTAGGGAAGCAAAAGATCAAGAAGGAGAAAAATGAGATGGAGGAGCTCAAAGAAGAAGGGAGGACAAACCAGAGAAGGGACACTGCAAGTACTGGGACAAGAATAAAAAATGAAGGAAGGAGAGAAAGCAAAAAGGAGAGGGAAAGGAAGGGACATAGCATTTTCACCATGCAGTAACTTGGAGGCCTTCAGGTCTACTAGGGAAGGAATAAGAGGCTTTCAATGTCAGTGATTTAGACAGTCATCTGGTGCCCCACATCTTCAATACATGTGTGTTTATTCTTTTAGCCACTTTTCCTTGGTCCCAGTCTTAATCACTTTGCTTGAAGTTTACCAATCACAACAAACTTCTTTTTCAAGTACCTCTTATTTATTTCTGCTTTATTACTTAGACTTTTTCCTGTCACTTCTATCGCCCATTTCTCTTGAATTTTATTTTCTTATTAGTCATGATATTTTTATTACAAAAGCTATTCTCCTCTGCTAATTTTGAAGGTTTTGCTCATATTTAAATTACTGATATGTGACTTTTATACAAATCTCACTATCTCATCCACAAATGTCTCAAGACAACTATCAATTAAGTAAATAAGGCAGATTGTGCCTTACATGGAAAAAAAGATGAAGTGTCAAATATTAATGACTATATCACAAGCAAGCAAGAAATATATATTGCTGTGTGGCAGAAGCATCATAAAAGAGCAAGAGAAGCTATGTAATTATATTTCATGATTATTTTCAGAAATTGTAGCAGTTCCTGTGAAGAAAATTTTAAGGTTGGTTATTCAATAAGATAAATTTTAAAAATATTATTTCAAATTATCTTGAAAAAGTAACTTATGAAGACTGTAATTAATGCATAATTTTATGTGGCATTGTTGAAGAATCTACTGAGAATTTTGTATTTTGTTTTGTTTTGCTTTGCATGAAAGGATATAAGAGGAATAAATATCCTCAGTGTTGGAATTCATCAACTTCTATTAAGGGAGTCTTTGAAGGTGAGGTAACAAAGAAGATAGAAATCAGAACGATAGTGATTGGAGATAGGTCTTACCATCCAGATCATTCTCAGGAGTCTCTGCTGTGTACCAGTTGGAAGGTGGTCCAGTGCCATTAACTGTCATGGCCGACACTTGGAAACTGTACTGACTTCCTTTCTCCAGTCCTATGAGAGAATTTTCCATAAAGGGGGGGAAAAAGTTACTGACTAACAAGTATTTCTAGCTAGGTTTCAAGAGTTTTAGTAAAATTTTAACAACAGTATAAACACTTTACATGGTTTGTGATTGTTGTGGTAATTATTATTATTTTGGCCAAAAGGGCAGAAGTATTATGGCAAGAAATCAAATTATTTTTCATATAGTCTCATTTATTTCTTTCTAGTTTATAAAATTGTATCCCTGAAAATAGCTTCTGGGCAGATGCAGAATATAAAATATGAACAATGAAGAAACAACCAAAAATAGCAAGGTTCATTTTTTCTCACAGTCTGCCTGTGAATCAAGAGGCCCACCTATAAATCAAGAGCAGTCATTCTAAAAATTTATGTCTCCATCATTTATTCAAGGTCAGTGATTATGTTTTCTTTGGGCCAAGAAAAAGAATCCAAAGTCACTGCATTTAAGCAGAAAATAGTAGGCTTTTTGTGTTTCAAAACCATCACAAAGCATACTTTGTTTTGCATCACCTTCCATACTAGAAGCATGAAGAAAGTCTATTTCCATGATAACTTGGACATAAAATATTGTACACAGTGATGACATCAGGGCTTAGTTTAGAGAGCACAGCGAACGCAGGTTGATGAGAAGTGGCCCACGTATCACTAGTGTGATATGTATAAATTTTTACCTAAATAACATTCCTTTTAACTAAACCTCAAAGTAGCTCATTACCATGACAGATTATGGTAAAACAAATGACACTTGTTGAAAAACTATGTGACTTTTTTTGAGACATTGAGGACTTGGCTTAAACCAACAAGTCCTTAAACCTCAAGGAGTTGAACAATCTTAATAAAGCTAAAGTGGCATAAATATTTGGTAACAAGAAAAATTCATAAAGAAAATGAAGTATTGGAAAAATGATGCTTATCATGTACAAAGTTACATATTTGTGGATTTTTTTGCAGAGGCCAATGAGTAAATCTTGGTCCTAAGGGGAATTTTAATTTATTATTAATTGGAGATAATGTTTTCAGTGATGGTTAAAATGGACTTGTTAATATCCAGGGCAGTTACCTTCAATAAATTGTACTATTAGAGAAGACAATTTGATAAACCCACCCACACAAAAGTATCTATGACACAAAATGCTATCTTCTCAAGAGGCTTCTAAGTTTGTAAGATAGACTAAAGCTCCATGAAGAAATAGACTGAGAATGGTTAACACTGCTGTTGTTTTTGTTATTGCTGGTATTTTATTTGTATATCCATAGATCCCACTACACTGACACATGGAAGGCACACATAAAAAGCAGCTGTTGAAAGATCCACTAAAGCATTGCTTAACACACGTGAAAATATGAGGTTAAAATACAGTAACCAACATCATCAGGTAAGCTGGTGATCACTTTGATTTGTCCCTTAGTTCACATGACATTGATCTTAATTTTTTGACATTTTGCACCCTTTCCTAGGCACCATAGTTGATTACTGAGGCAGAGGAATCATAGAGCTCTCCCAGAAAATTAAAAATAAGGAGAGAATTCTGGGAAGAAATGCTTACCTAATCATTCTAATTCATGACTTTCATAGTGGTCTTATCTGACATAGTTTTAGACCATCAAGAATATTCTTTTGTATTAAGTAAAAATTTAACTTTATTTTCTTTGAAATGGATGGACAATTGTGCTAATACCATCTCCAACAAGGATTGGGAATACCATCTGTGTTGGTCAGTTTTATGTGTCAACTTGGCTCAAGTCCCCACTTTTTAATCAAACACTAATCTAGGTGATGATGTGAAGGTATTTTATAGATGTGTTTAAAGTCCATATTCAGGTGATTTTAAGTTAGGGATATTTCCTAGATAGTGCAGGGGGTGGGGGCTGCTGATTCAACCTGGTGAAAGGTCATAAGAGCAGAAGTAAGGCTTCCCTGAAGAAGAAATTTCACCTGCAGACAGCAACTTCAGCTCAAGAGTTTCGGCCTGCCTTTCCTACTAGCCTGCCCTATAGATTTTGGAATCACCTAGCCGGCTGTCACAATCAATTAAGCCAATTTCTTGTAAAAAATGTCTTAGTACACATCACCACAGGTTCTGTTTCTCTGGTTGAACCCTGACTGACATACCATCTTAACACATGCAATATTTGACATATAAATGGACATTTTTTTGAATGCCCTATATTCTGTTCCATTCACTTGACTTTAAATCAAGTAACTTCTTGTGTGCAGAATCCATCAACTTTTAGTAGGAATGTATTAAAATATCTCACTAGAAAGTAGATATGAGTAGTAAAAATATCTCACTAGAAAGGAGAAAGATTTCTCCTAATTTTGCCAGATTTTTATTTATATACATTGTGTTGAGGATCTGCGGGTATCACTAATTCGGTTTTGAATAACACAAAAACCTATCAACAGTTTGGAGTGTAATTATGAGGCAATTTAGAGACCATCCATCAAGTATTTCCCCAATGGAGTCTTGCCTGATCAGCCTCACCTACTGGTCAGAATATCCCTTTCAACCAGGGAAGAGGAGCTGTTGATATATCCTCTCTGACATCTGTAGTGAAGGTTTAACATGCTGTATACATTAGTGTCTAGGTCACTCTGAAAATCCTGCCAAATTTCCTTGAACTATTACATTTTAGCTTAAAATTTTTTATTTTGCATTTTATTCTAGAATATACCTGTGTAATCTCTCTCACAAGAAACACCTATAAATTCTAGATTAGGTATAAAAAATTAAATATATATATATAATCCTAATATCAAAAGAGATGTTAATTAATGTTTATTCAGATGACCTGTCTAGTGCTATTTAGATGAATATCTAACAAAGTGATCTTGTAAATAAAACAGGAATACCTTTGGAATGAGAAATTCACCAAGGGAGGACACCTACTCAACTCTTTTCCTTGTTAGAAAAGTTCTTCCTTAGATTGTGCTGAATCTGCTTCATTATAGTATTGTCTACAGATAAAGCCTAGTTTTATACAGCAGGGATAAAAGAAAACTAAATTCCTCTCTTAAAATATCTTTACCCGTGTCTTCTGAATCTATATTCTGCCTTCTGAAACCTGTACCAATGGAATTAAACCTATGACACTCTTCTATGTCTAGAGAAGTGTAGGATGCAGTAAGTAGAACCAGACATTCTGGATATTACCTTCAGAATTCTAGGTTGCAAATGTTCCTGCTTCTTTGTTGTGAGGGGTATTTGCCAGGGCATGTTTTAGATGTACTGAGAGCTCTTTTAATCTCAATTTCCCCTATAAAGTAATTAGGTAATAATAACTGTTTTTCCATCTTATAATATTCTTTTGAGAATCAAATGACAAACTGTTTTTAAAATAATTTATATAATTAAGCATTTACTAGATATAAAGATAACATTTGCAAATTATTTCCTGACTTGACTTTCACATACTCTACGATTTTGCCACAGAATACATTATTACTCTCAGTCTGGAGATAAGGATAAGGTTCAGAGAAATTAAGCAAGGTTACTATGTGGAGCTTCAGTCACAACCTGGACTGTTCTTGGGTGAAGACTCTTGGTTCTGTCCTGTCTCCTGTTGGGGCCCCAGAAACATTCTCTTTGGAGACCTACCTGGCCAAGGCTGGGACTTAAGAGGAATGTCAGTAGCAAACATAAAGTCCTGTGCAAACATGCAAGGAATTTTTGTTTAAAATGGTTACATCCAGAACTGAGAAATGAACAGGCAGGCAGGAAAGAATCCATGATTCTATAATTTTAACAATGGATCAACGTAAGAGTTCAATAAAACTTAAAATTCAGGGTAGAGTTAAGTTTTTCTCTCACTTAGAAAAAATGTTGCCATTTGAAAGAGGAGGTGTCTTCAAAAGTTATAACAACAATCACCATGAACAAGCAATTTTCTGAGCCCCAAACCTGATAGCTGATATCTAAAGATCTTTCAGAACAGTATCTATATATCATCTATCTATCTATCTATCTATCTATCTATCTATCTATCTATCATCTATCTATCTATCTATCTATCTATCTATCTATCTATCTATCATTCATTCATTCACTGAAGCAGGGTAAAGGGAAATCTCTTTGGAATCAAAAGCTTTTTTGTGTGTGTATTTCTATTGTTTTTTGGGATGTGTTTCCTGTGTTGAGCCAGTAGAAAATTTTTAAATTTTTTTAAAGAAATAGGTAGAAAAGCTTTGATTTAATTTCTTCTAGAGTTATGCAGCTCCTTTAGCTGCAAAGCTAATGTTCAATTTTTACTATCGAACAGATACCTTTTTCAATTGTGCATTATTCCACTTTATTTATTCCACTTTGTGTATCCCTTTATACACACAAAATCACACATTCATTGTCTGTGGTCGGTAACACATTACTCACAGCTTCAGAGCTAGGAGTATAGGTTTTCAATTCAGGCAAAATTAGTTTTACTCCACAGCTCATGAGGTATATTACCTTGAAAAGCTTGCTTACCCTCCTTCTTTGCCTAAATGTTCTCATTAATAAAGTGGGAATATATACATAAAAAATTGTTACAAAGACTAAATTTGAAAAAAAATATATAAAGTGTTTTTTCCTATAGAGGTTTTTCAGCTTTTTCAAGGTATACTTAATACACCAAAAACTGGACATATTTAATGTATACATTTTGATGAGTTCGGACAGATGCATACATCCATGAGACCACCACCACAATCAAGGTAATAAAGATATCCACAACTTCCCAAAGATTTCTCATGTCCTTTTTTTTTTTTTTTTTTGTAATGGTAGAAACGCTTAGCATGGGATCTACTTTCTTAACACTGTTTAAGCGCACAATACAGTATTGTTGTATAGCAGATCTCTAGGATTTATTCATGATATATAACTGTCACTTTACACCCATTGAACAACTTCCTATTTCACCCTTCCATCTCCTGTGGCAACCACCATTCTATTCTCTTCTTTCATGAGTTTGACTATTTTATTGATTTTCATTTTTATTTTTTTTAAAGATCT